TGACACACATGCTGATTTATGATCTAATTCTACATAGGACATTGAAAGAAAATTGATTGGCCAGCTGGATCATCAAACCTAAATTTGCAAGACATTTGTGAATGATATGTGACAAAATGTAAAGGGGCATGCCGTGACTTTTGAGCAGTAATCAGAGAAGCTGCAAATAATATATGATTAATAAGTATGATTGTTTCTGCATGTAGATATTTGTTAATTTTTCGCTACTGTGGTAACTTCAGTATGTTGTTTTGGCTGATCAATATAATTTCTATTGCCATATCACTGTGTCAGCTGGAAATGCCATACTGGGGCCCTGAGCGTGCCTGGGTGGGCTGATTGGATTGGCCCAAGGTTGCATTCGGAAGATTAAGCTATGGTGCATTACGGAGAAGTGATCGGAGCAGCAGGATGTGGGAATGGTTCCCAGAAAAGACAAAAACCGGGCAGCACGGACATGAAATGACCTTCAGGATAAGAATAGAACAAATTAACTCTCATCCTTTTATTTTCCCACTGCTGAGGGGGCTTCTTTGTTAATAATTTCATAGTAAATGCAGACTGAATCATTTATCATTGTTGCAAAATGGCTCTTTGTTCTTGCATGGTTATATTGCAAAGATATGATAGGAATACTGAAACAGTACAGAAGAATTACAATACATTTTATGTTTATTGGTAGCAACAAGTCTAATAAATTCCAAATTGCATTTGAATAAATTTTGTAGCCCATATGAGCCAGAAAAATAGCATTAGAGTTTAAAGGGGGAGTGAATTTGTGATGAAATGAACAGACAAGGTCAAACACAGCCCTTTCAGGGAGAATCAGTCGCTTTATCTGCCATAATGGATGAAATGGTTTGTAGCTAAAGAAAACAAATCACAAAACAAACAGAAAAGACCTGAGTCACTGTTGTTTTGAAGACCAGGCTTAATGATGAGATATTTTCTTCAGCTTAGCTTCACAGGTCACCTATAGGTTGTGTATGTTGAATAGATCAACATTACAGATTGTTGATCTTGTGCCACGAAGCATCATATGTATAATTATTTTAAAGACACAGTCTTGAATAATGTTCATACAGAGGGCGCCCAGTTTTGAATGAAAATACTTTCAATGAGGCAACTGCTTGATTAAGTAATGAAGGTAAATTATCTCTTCATTGTGCATAATAGACACTTTTTTAGCATTGCTCTGATGTAAATTAGAATCACTTTTATCTATATGAATCTAGTTTAACTTCTCAGTATTTCAGTCAGGTGCATTCAGCAGAGATGAATCAGCTAATAGTCTCCTGTGGCGTCCCATCATATATTAAACCATATCAGGGACATACCGCCTTTTAACTTTTTGGAAGGATGCCATAGCAGATTAATGGATCGTATTAAAAAGCTGCTATGAAACAAAACAAATGCCTTTTTTTCCTGTTACTGGTGAAATGCAGTTGATTCACAATCATAAAACATTATCAAGTAATATATACTCAAATATTCCTCACCAAAAGTTTTAGCATTCTCTTCAGTATTTATTTATTTACATTCGCATTGATGGTTAAGATATATACAAATTCATCATTTGCACCAATATGTTAAAAAGATACATAGCCTGTCTTAGGCTGTCCTCAATTTTATATTATTAATTTCATTAGTTTGTTTGCTTACTTTTTTTACATGAAAAAAAAAATCATTTTTATCTATAGTTGAATTTAAAAGTGGAAAACCTGTAAGCTAGTTCAAGGGCTGATGACATAGGAATAACCTTGGTAAGCAGATAAGTGATGCAGCTACCACAGTGTGTGTATTTGGGATTATAGAAACCAGGATTTACTGAAGACATATAGAGGCTGTTAAGTTTTTAACAGGGAAAATAGAAAAGTGAGGAGGCGCTGTGTGAGTGTTTTTGTTGGTTTCTATGAATATACATGCCACCAGCAGCCCTTCTATAGGAGAGGAGATGATCTTGGATTAGATATCAGATCTGTCCTTTTTCGTCCTCTGTTTGGCTGCTGCCTTTCAGGCTGATTCTCATATTTTTAACTCAGACATCTGATTGATTTCCTTCAAGTTCATGTGAAGCACAGCAGTAGTTATTCTCATCTAAATTGTGGAGCAGGAAACTTACAATTTCAGTATTTACTTTTTAGTTGCTAAAGTTATTAGCCTTACTAAAAGTCTGCCGTTTCTTGTAAAAGTCTCACCTTTTTTCATTTAATAAGGTTTTATCTACAAACTAAAGGTGTTTTATTGGAATATCATGTAAACCATCAACATACGGTACTGCATAGTTGTGAAGTAAAAGGAACGGGATGAAGGGTTTTCTTTTTTGGTGGCAAATAAAGGTGGAAGGTCTCAATGTTCATTTATTTTATATTATCCATCCATCTTCTCTCGTTTATTACATAAGGGTCGCAGTGAGGCAAGTGCCTATCTTCAGCAGTCTGTTGGCGTAAGGTGGGGTACAGCCTAGATAGGTTGGCAGTCTGTTGCGGGGCCATTTTGTATCTTGATTGATTCAGACAACCCAAAATTCAATTTATCACTAGAAAAGCACTCAGAGCAGAGGCCACCGCTAAGTAGCTAATTTCTCCTGAGATATTGTAACTTCCACCTTAAGTTAATACCTGTATTTAATGGTAGGTAATCTTTCAAAAATATTGCTGATATTTCCTTGGATTGAGCTGCACCTTTTGTAAAAATGTCATTAAAATCTGTTCATCATTTATTTTATTTAGATGGAAAGAAAATTAAGCTTTTTCATCTAGATGCAAAGCACATGGACAGATTGTTGTTTTTTTTTTTTTTTCCCTGAACACACCATGTTCAGGGAAATGTAGTGGGGCCGGCATAATGCTGCAGGGATGCTTCTTTAGCAAGGAAAGGAAAGCCGATCAGTTTTGATGTAGAGATTAAATAAATACAAGGAAATCTTTGAATAGATTGGAAAAGAGTGGGAATATTCAGCTGAAGAAAACTGAAAATACTTGCGGCTGTGGTAACAACAAGGGGGTTCTACAAAGTTTTCACTCAAGGAAAAATCACCTCCCCAGTTTTCAGACTTTTTTTCTTACTTTTTAATTTTTATATCACTAATAGTCTCTAGTTTGTATTTTTTTTGTCACAAAAAATAATTAATAAAATATTAAGAAGGGGTTTGTTATGAAAGAATGTGAAAAAGTTCCAGTATATACACATTAACAAAAAGTGGGTCAGAAATAACCCAAACTGACCCACTAAAATGGTTTGGTCTTTTATAACCCAAAAAATAGGTTATAATATTCCATCCAAATTATGGATGAATTAACTGCTAATTTGGATAAATTCAACCACACATATTTGTTAATAGACCCTACCCAAATGCTGGGTGAAATTAATAGCAATTTTTGCCATGAAAAGGGGCAATGGACCCAGTATACAGGCGAGACAGACAGTGGGAGGTTTAAAAAAACCTTTAGTGACTAAACAAAACAGACCTGAACAGAAACAGAACAGAACACGGGCTGCTGTGGATCTGCGGACATGCAGCGGCTGCAGGGGGGAATTGGGGCGACACCCATCACTGGCAGTCTGGTTGTGGGAGAAACACAGGTAAATGACCACAATAATCTAACAGAAGATGATTATTTGTGTGAGTCACTTACCTGCTTTAACAGTTCAGTCCATCTTCTCGGGTGAGGCAGGATCCAGTCGATGGACTACCAAATGAGATGTGGCACTGAGCCGCCCAGAGTGTCCCTGATGCAGCAGCCCCAATGAGCAGACAGGAGTCCGAGCCGAACAGACAGGAAAGGAACAGAGACAAGACATGGTACTAGGAGAACTGCGGAACTTTAAACTGGCTCCAACCAAGCCAGGCCTACGGAACCTAAAACTATACCACCCCCTGCTCATACATTGTCTTTTTCTTTTTATTGTTTCACCAGCAACATTTATTTGTTTAATAATAATTTAAATCCCTCATATTGACTCTAACAAATTACAGTACTGTCAAATTGCAATAGACTACCTATATCTATGATGAAATACATGCTAAATTTGGTCATATACCATGCAATAAACCAATAAATGATACTGCAAACTAACGAGGCACCCACATTACAAAAAGGAAGATGTTATGTTAATTATGGAACAATTTCAATCAGTGTTATTAAAACAATGCACAAATGTGTATAACAAGTGAGAACAGCAACAGGCCAAATGTCAAACTGGTACAAAAAGCTTTTCCTTTGGCTCTTAGCTCCACTGAAGGCAAGTATTCTAATTTGAAGAAACTTTACCAGATCATACTCCTCTCCTGGCATTTCATAGACTGCTCTCAGCAGAAATCCCCACAAACGTTCACACTGCTGCTTGTATTTAATGTGTAAGATAAAAGAATGCCTTGAAGGAAACATTGATGGCAGGAGGCAGTGTGTCATGGTCCAAAGGCTGTCCAGCAGTGGTGACAGATGCTTAAGATGCATGTAGATCATAGTATATCTTTCTCTTTCTTTCTCTCTGTATCTATCTCTCTCTTTCTGGACCTGCCTTTGGACCTGTCTGTATGACTTGCTATGAAAATGGTCAGTCAGATGCTCCAACTGTGTGAGCTGATGGTGCATAGGGCATGCAGCTTGGCACAGTCATGGGCGTGGTGTGTTCCCAGGTGGAGCTTGTCTTTTAAGGTGATGAGATTAAAGCACAAACAACCAGGTGCTGGGTCAACCGATGCATGTTGGTTTGATGAATTTGGAAAAACATATTGACCCATAGCATGGATTTCACACACAAAAAAATAACCCAGGTCCCATAAAAATAACCCTACTACCCTAAATATAACTCATAATGGGCGAAGAATGTCATAACCCAGTGTTTGGGTAGATAATGTAACCCAGCATTTTTTATAGTGTGAACTCTTTTCTAAGTTTAGATTTGAGTCATTCCCCAGCCTTTACATATATATATCCTTTCTTTTAGTCTAGGGACTAACATGTTCCTTACCTCCTATGTTTGTCCATCCACAGGAGAAGACCGGACCAGAGAGAATGTGGTGGGCTCCACAGATGCTCAGTCAACCACTGCAGCTGGGACAGAGTCTGGCCCCAGCAGGCGAAGGCTACACTGTTGCATCAGAGTAACAGCCGTGCAGGTGCGGAAGGCCCTGTGGGGGGTCGCGATGGTGATGTGCGTGTGCTCGTCCTGGGCGGGCTCCACCCAGCTGGCCAAGCTGACCTTTAAGCATTTTGATGCCCCCTTCACGCTCACGTGGTTCGCCACCACTTGGAACTGCCTCTTCTTTCCGGTCTACTACATCGGCCATTTGTGCAAGAGTCCGGAGAGGCAGACGCCCAGGCAGAGATTAAGGTTGGGAGATTTGTCATCTCTAGACAAATAGATAAACTTCATGTCAAAAAGGGTTTTGTTTGACCCTTGTTTTAAATCAAAATTTAAACTGAGTGATGTTTGAACCCCTAGAGCAACTTCAGGAAATGAAAGCATGTGTATGCATAGCCTTTCTGGAAAATAGCGTACAGAAACAATTCAGAAAAAAAATTATAGAAATCTGCAAAGTAGATCTACTCAACTCTGATTGTACCTATTTCTGAACAGGGCAGTAAAAACTAGTACCAGTACTGAACCAGCAGTATTAGAAACATATGTATATTTATTTGTGTTTTAGTATCTTGGAATGTACTTTTCTGTGTGTTTTTATTCCTAGTGTGTACAGAACTTTGAATTGTCTTAATATTGAAATGTATCAAATAAACTTGCTTTGCCCTAATATATCTTAAATCAAGCTAATACAGTATTTTGGTCAAAAGTTTCACAGTGTTGATTATTACAGAAGATTAATATTGAAGATTCAAGATGGAGGGTAATTATAATAATTCTAACCATATTCTGTTCTTTCCTGTCTAAGGATCAGTTTTGGAAAAATATCATAATAAAATATCAGAAGTTCTCAAGATAAAATCAACATACCGTATTTTGATTAGTTTTTAGTATTCCTTTATTTAGGTTTTAATCTTGTCACAAATAGTGTACCACTTACGAGTAAAAAATGGACTAACATTAATCATGAGAGACCCCTCATTCCTAATCCACAAAATGTTCTATCAGTCCACCCTTTGAATCTATAACAGCTTTGACTTCTGTGGGAGGTCTGTCCACACTGCTTTGGAGTGTAAACTATATCGACAATAATATCCAAATTTTGACTCTGTGCTTAAGGGACATCCCATTCCTAATCCATAGCGCCTCAATATGATGTTGGTCCACCCTTTACAGCTAATAATAATAATTGAACTTTATTGATCTCACATTGGAGAACTGTACCTCTGCATTTAACCCATCCCTTTGGGGAGCAGTGGGCTGCCCTTGTGCAATTGGGAGCAATTGAGGGTCTAGCTCAGGAACCCAGAGAGTGGAGGCAGTGGGATTCAAACCGGGTACTTGTAACCTTCTTAGAGCACAAGCACACTGCTCTAACACACTAGGCCAACACTCCCCCTAGAATAGCTTCTTCTCTTTTTGGGAGGCTGTCCACAAGGTTAAAGGAATAGTACACCCAAAACATGATTAGCCTTCATTTTCTACTCACCCCCATGCTGAACAAAACTCTGGAGTACTTTTTTGATATCTCAAATGCATCTGGAGATCTGGGAGGCTTCTTGCTGTCTGCTGACATTCAAATAATGGAGGTCTATGGCGCCCGAGACAGAAAGGTCCATAAAAGTCCACAAAAACGTGTCAATATTCATCCATACTGCTCGTCCAATGTAATCCAAGTGTCCTGAGTGGGTAGCATCCAGAATTTACTCGAAACGAAGTCATTTAGAACGTTTTAGAGCCTAAACAGTAGTGTATAGGATTTCCTAATAGCGCCCCCATGCGCGCTCACGATGCTACGGAAGCCGGCAGACCAAACCAGTGCATTCAGCTCGGCAAAGAACTCATGCTCTTCCTCAACACTGAAGTCCTCAGACATTTTTCTTTCGTTGTTTCTCTCTTTGCACAGGTAAACAGCACATTTCTTCTTCTACGCTTGCATTATCGTCAGAGCAGACGCTGAATGAGCACTTTCTTCCGGTTTGGTCTGCCGGCTTCCGTAGAATCGTGAGCGCGCATGGGGGCGCTATTAGGAAATCCTATACACTACTGTTTAGGCTCTAAAACATTCTAAATGACTTCGTTTCGAGTAAATTCTGGATGCTACCCACTCAGGACACTTGGATTACATTGGACGAGCAGTATGGAGGAATATTGACACGTTTTTGTGGACTTTTATGGACCTTTCTGTCTCGGTCACCATAGACCTCCATTATTTGAATGTCAGCAGACAGCAAGAAGCCTCCCAGATCTCCAGATGCATTTGAGATATCAAAAAAGTACTCCAGAGTTTTGTTCAGCATGGGGGTGAGTAGAAAATGAAGGCTAATCATGTTTTGGGTGTACTATTCCTTTAATGAGTGTGTTTCAGGGAATGTTTGACTATTCCTGCTGATGTTGAATGACATGGCCTGGGGTCTCAGTCTCTGCTGTAATTCCTCCCAAAAGTGTCAGGCCTGTGCAGGACAGTCAACTTCGGGTCTTTATGGACCTTGCTTGTGCCCTGATGCACAGTCATATTGGAAGAGGAAGGAGCCAGCTCCTAACTGTTCTCACTAAATTGGGAGAATGGTATTGTCAAAAATGTCTTGGTGTAATAAAACATTCAGAATTCCTTTCACTGGAATTAAGGGGCCAATTGCAAACTCCAGATAACTTGTCTCATCTGCTCTGGAATTCATTGGCGGTGCGTTTTACACCACTGCATCCGACACCTTGCATTGCAGCTGGTGATGGATGGCTTGGATGCAGTTGCTGGACCATGGAAACCTATTCCATGAATCTCTCTGTTCGTGAGCTAATCTAAAGGCCACGTAAGTTTTGAAGTGTGTAGCCACTGACTCTGCAGAAAGTTGCCGACCTTTTCACACTACAGTATACGCTTCAGCATCTTTTGACCCTGCTCTGCCCGTTAACATGGGGCTGCAGTCATTCCAAAACACTTCCATTTTCTTTTGATACAGCTGACATTTGGCTGTGGATTAAAATGAGGACATTTCCTGACTGGATCTGTTATACGGGTGGGATCCAAGTTCCACAGTGGAATTGCCTGAGCTTCTCAGAGTAACCCATTCTATCACAGATACTTCTAACAACAGTCTGCATACCTAAGTGCTTGATTTTATACACCTGTGGCCATGGAAGTGATTGGAACAGCTGATTCCAATGATTTGGATGGGTGAGCAAATTCTTTTAGGAATATGCTGAAGAAGATTCTCAGTCATCCAGGTCATAGTCATTCCGTAAAAGTTTAAAAACAATCCACTGGACTTGGTTTCCAAGGTTTGAAGACATTTCGCTTCCCCTCCAGGAAGCTTTCTCAACTGACATTTGAATTGAGGTGTATTTGTTTGGTCACACTTTAATGTTGGACAGTAAGGTCCAGCTCACAGATACTATCATTCATCCTGAAGATTTTGTTTTAGGTTGATGATTCTGTTCTCTTACCCTAGTCCACTCCAAACTATCAGGTTGAGTGGAGGTTTTGGAGGACCCAAATGCAGAGACGGAAGAAGGCAGAGATGAGTTTTGCTGATTAAATAATGATCCAAAGGGCAAGAGAAGCAAAAGTCCACAAACAAAATACAGAAAGCCAAAATCCAGGAGTCAGGGGAAAAAACACATGAGGGGTAAAGAAACAACAAGGAACCAGCAAACAGTAACTGAAGAGGAGGAGTATAAATCAGCAGATTGGGAGCAGGTGTGGACAGAAGAATCTAGAAGGGAGCTAGGAGAAGGAGACTGACATAAGAGGGCAACAGAGGGCAAACAAGAAATACATTAAAAAAAACTCAAATACAACCAAAAATTAGAATAACACAAGATGGAAATAAAACCAATAAAGTAGAAAACACAGAAAAACATGAATAAAAGTGTAACTGAAAACTCAAAAAGAAAACTTAAACAGAACCAAAAAGTGTAGAATCATGACACAAACTAGTTCAGCTGTGTCTCTAAGGGCCCTACTTTGTGCTTTTGAATACAGTCGTTATTTATGAAATAGTCCAAGTTATTTTAATACACGGAAGCATTTAAGCATTGCAGCCACTACTCTGCCTATCAAAAACACCAAAAACCATGTTTACTAAGGTGCAAACTCAGAAAACAGCCTTTCACCAGAATCCACACCAAACTGTAGATTTGACATAATGCAGTCTTAGAAGTTCATTTCCCCTGGCAGCTGCCAAAGTCAGACTTGTCCATGGGAAAGCGAGGCAGGGAAGTCTGACTCATCACTTTCACAATATGTTGATCAGTTTGAATGATAAGATAAAATTGTATTTTTTAAAGAAAGTAAGAATTGTTGGGTACCACAGGGTTATTAACAAATATGTTGCTATGACCTTTTTTCTTCAAAACTTCTATCACACAAACTTTCCATCTGTTTCATTATGAAAAGTGAAATAGACAAATCTCAGTTTAACAGTCTAAAGTGTTGGGTGAAGCAAGCATTTCTGCATCTGATCTGATGACAAAGGACTGAAAGGTTTACAGTGAAATTTAAGGCATATTAGGACGAAAACCCAGAGATAATAAAAAGTGAGGGATTGCAGGAGGCTTAGGGGCCGCAGGTGTTTTCTCCTTTATTGTCCTCATATTCTGATTTTAATTCATCTTATCTGGTATTACCTCTTTGTGTACAGCACTCTGAGAAAAAAAGCATAAACCTAAAGTTAATTATTGTTGCTAAAGGTTTCTCTGAATTACTTCTTGGAAATATACTTAATGCAATCATGTCTTCCTGTTTTTTTTTTTTTCAATTAAACTGACATAAGCAAGCTTTTTCCACAGAGCTTTGTCATCTGTGCCATTTTTTGTTTATAAAAAAAAACAAATAAAACTTGCTTTAAATTGGTTTCCATAAATCTTAAAATATGAAACTTGCTACCTAATATGAGACATAACTATGAGACACAAACTCCCACCAGAAGTTTTTGTAAAGTTAAAAACAGGCTTTTCCTCAGGCAAAGACCATTAGTATGGTAAGAGAACAGTATGCCATCTTAAAAAACACCACCCTTTAACTCTATGGCTACCTTCACACTGCAGCTTGAAGTGACCCCGATCCGATTTTTTGGCTCATATGTGACCTGGATCTGATCTTTTCATGGCAGTATGAACAACACAGATCCATTTTTTTCCAATGCGACCCAGGCCGCTTGGCTATGTGCTCCTGAATCAGATATGAATCTGATCTTTTCACTTTCACTGATCTTTTCGACCTGTGTCTGAACGCCTAGGTCGCATTCATCCGACCTGGATGCCATTAAAATCCGACAAAGGTCACTATTCTGGGTCTTGTTATGAAGAAGCTGCACGAAAAACACCAACCATGGCAGACGATGATGCGGAGGGCAGTATTTATGTTTAACCATCTTGAAAAGATTGTGTTTTTATGGTTGGGAAAGATCGCTAGATGCGCACTACCATCCATGTTTACTTCCGTAAACACAGAGCACCCTGGCCTGTGATGTAATTGCGTCCTCTACTGCGCATGTGGGACACTTGCGTTGTATGACTGCAGTTCACACAGGAGATTACATACAAGTCGCATATATTTGGAAATGTGAATGGCAACGCAAAAAAAAAAACGGATTTCACAAAACATCAGAATCGAGCATCAAGGCCTGCAGTGTGAACGTAGCCATAGAGTCAAAGGGTGGATGGTAGACACCTGGCTTCACTCACAGGCCAATAATCTCTATCCAATCAGCTTTTGTGGGCTTTTCTGGGCACCGTTTCATTCACAACTGTCCCATCAACGAGGAATCAGATATTCAATATTTTTCAATATTAATCCCAGGGTAAAATTACTTTTGTTACATTACTCTATATGTAATAGAGTGACTATAGTACCAGTTTGATATAACACAATTTCATGCAATATATATAATTAGGGGTTCCCCGCTCCATCTTGCCATCAGTTTGGGGGTCCTTGGCCTGGAAAACGTTGAAGACCCCAGTTTTAGTAAATTCATGCACTTAATCTTTTTAGTCTGATATGACATAACTTCTGCTGCACTAATACAGTGTTCTTCATTGCATTTCTTCACAGGGAGTGCTGCAGGTTTTTTGGGGATGAGGGACTGACCCCGAAAGTGTTCTTCACCAAGGTAGCTCCATTTGGCCTGCTGTGGATCCTCACCAACTACCTGTACCTGCAGGCCCTCAGGAAGATTAACACCACAGATGTTTCTGCACTTTTCTGCTGTAACAAGGCCTTCGTGTTTCTGCTATCTTGGATTGTACTCAGAGACCGCTTTATGGGGGTCAGGGTGAGTATTCGAAACATCAAATCTGTGCTTCTTTATTGAAAAAACACAATTGTGTCTGTACAGTAGATAACTGGAAAAGAAGGAAGCTGCAAAGGTTTAAAATTTTCATATTAATATACTGAAAGTGTCTCCTTTTCATGTAAGGAGTAATACACAAAACCCCCCAAAATGCCTGAACTACTTTTAGAACAGCATCCAGGAGGTTATGTGTAAATCCCTCGTCTTTTGGAATCTACTGAATCGGGTGATTCTTATCTTTTAATTCAGTGGTTTCTTGTCTTCATCTTGCATAGTAATGGTTCCTCCTGATACACAATTTTGACAAAGCCATTATCTGTGTAGACAAAAATAGAAAAAGAAGTTGATTTATTTAATTTATGATTAACATAGACAAAGATGTTCCTCCAAAATAAATCTATTCGAGGACTTTCATCACATCAAGCAATTTTCCAGATTCTTTACTTTTATTTATCACATTTTCATCATTTAGGCTAAAAGCTGTTGGGGAAATATGTTGCTCATTATACGTTTCTTTTTTAAATTCTAATCTGTAACATTTAAGCATGCAGATAATTAAACAATTTGAATATGAAAGATACAATTTGTAAATATAAAGAGCAGTTTTCAGAGGCCGTTTTTCATTAATGAGAAAAGAAATATCTGCTATTTAAACCAACAAGCCCCTTGTGCGAAAATATAATTGCCCTTTTGTTAAGTCATGGATTAACATTTCTAATTTGGACCAAGGTTGATTTGCTGTCTGAATTATATTATTAAGAGATGATTTACCTTTGTAGAACTGTGATGATGACAATGTAGGATAAAGATTGGAGAGATTAACATGTCCCAAACTAATTCATCAACATCTGCAGCCTTAAAAAGTTTTTCAGGGGCATTTCGAATGCTTTGGGATTCCAGAAAACTACAGTGAGATTATTAATACAAATGAAGAAAGCCTGAAACTGTATTAAAGTATCCATGGAACGGTCAGTCTATAAAACAACAGCTAAAGCACTGCAAGACTCACCTGTTATAGTTACGGTCAGCATTAATCATTTAGCAGTTATGAAGAGAAAAAAATGGCATTTTAAAATGAAATCCACTGCTGCCCAGTTTCCCTACACCATCCGTTCCATCAGCTTATTTGCACATCCAGATACACATTCGGGTCGCCCCTCGATTTTACTTTGTAAAAAAGACATAGAGACAATAGTAAGTGTTCTAAACTATAATGTGTTAAGGGTTAATAATGTATTTCAAGAGATAATAAATGCATTAAAATCCATTCTGTTTTATCACTCATCTGTACTGGAAATGGGATCCTATGCTTCTTCCAGGATCTAACATTTTCAGTTTTTGATTTAAACATTAATCTTGTCTTTCTGAGTTTATTTTTTTCCTTTTGTATTAACATTATTGTATATAGTGTGTAATCTAAAGAAAGAAACAAATAAAATGCAGATAAACATGTTTAATCGTATTTTGCCAGACTACTGTACTCTGAGCATGTCCGATGATGATGTCAGACAAGCTGTTTAATGGAGAAAATGTAAAAAGCATCACATTGTCTCAAACACAAATCATAAAAAAATGTTTGAGTGTGTGATTTAGCACTCTTTAGTGATTTAAAGATGGAAATAAGCACTTTTAGTAACATTTAGTGACCTGGATGAATATCTGCTTGCACATGTTCAAATGAGCTGATGGTACGGATCGTTCTTCCGTTACGGATCGGGTAGTGACACTCAGGAAGAACAAAAAGACCAGACTTAGTTGGTGAAATATTGACAACATGCTTATCACGTTGATGTCTGTATTTATCGTAATTATCTGAAACATTTCTGAAAAACAAGAAATATGTAATTGAGTGAATACTTACAGAATTGTGCATTGACTTTGTGGCAAGAGAGTTTAGCCTTTACTGTTTCCATTAGCATTACAAGTAAAGGGACCACGAGATAAAGGGGATGACCTTCAGCAGCTATAGGCTTTTGTTTGTGCCTCTCATGATTTGTAGAAAAAAAGTTGGATACAGTTTATCTTGCTGTTCATGGTCAGCAGTAGTAGACAACAGAGTTCGTTTGACAGCATCTTCAATCACCAATGATTGGCTCTAATTCAATCATGTGTTTCCATTACCAGAAGAGACAAGCGGAGAATGAAAGGTTGAAGGTTGAAGCATGCTCTTCTCCTTTTCCACTGCACACCTCTGGTTTGTTTACCTCTGCAGTTCTCTTGCAGTCTGCAGCAAAAACAGAAAGACCAACATGTCATTTCCTCACTGTATCCGACTCCCCGCTGCCATGATTCGTAATGAAAAACATCAGAAAGTGACAGCAACAGTTAGAATGGTGTTAGTCTGCCTCTTGTACCCCCTCACTTTGTTGCTTGATGGTGGGGACTGCAGTGTGTGGAAGTCTGCGGCAGTGCAGAAGGATCTATTATAGAAAAAAGAGAAAGATGAGCTATTCTAAAGTGGTATGTGAAACAGGTGTTAGTGATGTTTTAGTGTTGTGGTGCTGCTTAAGATGTTACCAAAGCTTCTTGAATTTGTTTGGTGGCAACAATAGAGCCACATATCATTGTTCTTATTTCAGGATTCAACATTCAGAAACTTTTATGTTCTTTAATAACTTTTGGATTTATGTTAAATAATGGGAATGTGTCCCAATACAACTTTTTTATTCCTAATATTGCATATTTGAGTGTATACTGATACTGATATTGGTAAATGGCATGTACTTATATAACGCCTTTTTTCAAGTCAGGAGACTTGACCAAAGCGCTTTACACTACATTCATTCACCCATTCACGCGCACACTCACACACTGATGGTGGCAAGCTACATTGTAGCCACAGCTTTCCTAGGGCTTACTGACAGAAGCGGGGCTGCCGTACACCTCTGACCACCATCAGTTGACAATGTAGGTGAAGTGTCTTGCCCAAGGACTCAATGACACTGAAAGTCGGAGCCGGGGCTTGAACCGTCAATCCTTCGATTTCAGGGCAAACTCCAACATCCAACGCCACTGTCGATATTGACCCAAAGTACTTATACATACTTCCATTACCATTCTGTAGGCAGACGTTAGCAAAGTCTTGATTAAATGATATACTCAAACAGAAATCAATAGTTAATAAAAGCAGGTATAAGAACAACAGATCAATTTATTTATATATATGGTTTACAGCGAAGAGTTTTTATTAGCATGTTAATATCGAAGATTTTAGATACAGGCTGATATATTCAGATAATTGATTGTTGCTGATATTATCAGATTGGGGTATTGCCAAAACGTGTTTATATATACTTTTAAAGCAAAAAAACAAAAGTTGACCTTTTAACAGGTTTTGCATATCTGGATGCAAACACTTATGTTCTCACAAAAGATGAGGAAAAGATCTCCGAATCACATTAGATTGCACTTATGATCTTTGCTTCCACAGTTTGTGCTCTTGAGATTGTCCAAATGCAAGGACTTTGCTTTTGTTATGATAATATGTCTGAAACATTTTATGAAATTTAAATTGCCTTTTTATTAAACGTCTTTCCTGTAAGCTTATAACTTATGTTTCCCTTTTAGACGAAGTACAGGTCTCAAACCTTGAAGGAATACAATGTTCCAGACGATGATATTCCAATCCGGCATGTTATGAATCCTCTGTCCTCTCAGGAATTAAACAAAGGCTTTCGAGAAAATAGGAGAATCTGTTTTTCCTAACAGCGATGTGATGTAGACATGCAAAAATCACTATGTGGGTGAGAGCTGAGTCAGACTGAGGAAGAGATGGTTTCAAGAAAGAGTTTCTGCATTCTGAGGAATGACTAAACATCTAACTTTGGCTGAAAGACACCAACATTACTCTGTTGGGACTCCTCTACTGAAGAGACAGAGATTATTGTATAAATACTGTTATCAGCCAAAGAAAATTTGAGCCTTTATGAGAATCCTCTGAGAATTCCTCTTAAAGACTCAAATTTAATGCTTGTTTGTTTCTTTGTATTAAATTAAATATTGAAGATTTTTTAAGTACTAAAATGATCTTTGGTGCATATTGATGCTCATCGATGCAAAGTAAGCTTTAGTCAAACAGTCCAACAATCCCATTTCTCTACACTATTTACTATAGATTTCTTTACATTTAATCCAGTCAGGATTTTATTTTATTGAAAAATAAAAAATACTGGATAACTTGGAGGATTAAAGGAAAGGATACATGGTCCTTTTAACTACTTCATAAATGAAGTTTGGAAAGGTTTAATTTTGGGGGCATGTCTCTACCAATATTGAAAATCAAAAACCTCACATTTTTAATTCTACTTTGCAAAACAGTTAAAGCTCAGTCAGATTGGAAGGAGAATGAATCTGAATAGCAAGTACAGGTCGTGCCAAGACTGTTTAATTGAATTTCTGTCCAATTTTGAGACATGAATACTTCTTCTAAACAACTGGTGTCCATCTCCAGTGGTGACTACTGTAGGTGAGGCACGCCCTAAACATAATGCCAGAAATACACAGGATAACTAACCATCACTCTTCAGGTCAACTTACTGAGACCAGTCGACCTCAGATGGGTATTTTTGGAATGTGAGAGAGCAAGCAGGTGTTTGAACCCTTAGAATTAATGGCTTCTAAGCTTCTGTGGCACCATGCATCCTCACTGATGCCTCAGTTTTGAGATTTTGATCTTCTTTCACTTCACAACTTCCCTCTTCTTTCTTTGGGTTGTCAAATAAAACAATCGTATTAAAACATCCTGTGGTTTGCATTTCTAACCAAAGGTCAAAGGAGTCCATCTGCTTGCACTCATTGCTCTCACGTATAGCCAAATCTAAAACAGTTTTTTACCGGTATGGATGAGGTCTCGACTCTATAAGCTCTTAACACTTCACTTGTGCTGAAACCTTTCTCATGGCTGCTGATCCTGCAGGCAAAGTGGCATTTACTAAAGTGAAACGTGCTGCTGTGACTGACAGGCAGCCTGCAGTGCGGAAATAGCAATTCTGCCAAAAAGAAAAAAAAAGTGTTTCTGGGCTATGGCCAAGCAAAAACACACAGTTCATTTATCTTCCTGACACCCTCCTAATGCAAGAGCTAATCCACTCAGCTGGTATGCAACCACGTGCGCAACGCTGACGCCTCTGGTCGTATCGTCTCAGTCTGAAAACAAAACATCACAGGCAGAAATGAGGGATGCTGATTGGGGTACATCCAGGACGACTGCAAGCGTTATGAAACAGATGATCTCCTGTCATCTTGCAGGCATCTTAATCATAAAGGCGAGGAGTGAAGGAAATATATGGGGACTGCTGGATCAGGGCGGTGTGTGTGGTTTGTTCACGATGGCAGCGTAAAAGGAATAAATGTCAGCCATTTAAAAGCTCTTGGAAAGTAAACCTGAGAATCTGTGAAGCGTGACGGTTAGGATTTAGGAAAATAGGATCCAAAAATGAGATGCCTGCTGAAAAGAAGCAAGAACTCAGACATTAATTATAGCTTTTACAAACCCAATTTTATATATGCCTTAGATTGCTTCTCTCAGAGACAAAAATGATTTATGAAAGTTACAATAGTGGTACCACAGACAACAGTAACAGACTTCGATTCTTACTCAGCAAAGATAAGGTGTTGCCCATCCATCACTAACTGCTGTTCTTTTACTTCACAGATAGTAGCAGCTATCTTGGCCATAGCTGGCATCGTCATGATGACCTATGCTGATGGGTTTCACAGCCACTCAGTCATCGGCATTACTCTGGTCGTGGCGTCTGCTTCAATGTCAGCACTCTACAAGGTAAGCTATCTGTTTTCATTCAATCAAATAGCACAGTATTACCATTTCTAATAGAATTTTGTGATATTTGGGTCCCAGAGAAGTAAAAAATTAAAAAAGAAAAAGCTTTGTTATGTTTCCAATCTGGCTTATATATGGAGTCCTTTTTGGTTTGGTATCAGGTTGCAGATTTTTTTTTTTAACTCTTTGTTAAAAATAAATGAATAAAATTCCAAAAAATCCGATTGTAATCCATGTATATGAATTTGTGGTAAAACAGAGGCCCAATGTTAAGTATGGATCCATGATACTGTGGACACATTTCTTTTTAAAAAGCCCCTAAACCTTTGTTTATGTGGGAATTTTTAGAAAAAAAACATAAGACTTTAAAGAATATCTAACAGACTCTACCTCAGTCTTTATTTCAGCAGAATAAGGAATCTAAAGATATAACAAAATCAACAAAGATCTTTCTACACAATATACATGTACAGTAATTGCTCTAACATGGCATCTCAGGTTGAACACCTAAGCTGTAGGGTGCATAAGGATTAAAACAGGCTGATTTAGAGCGATTATCCAATAGAAAAGGTGAAACATTCCTCCATATGTAGTTTTCAAATAATATTTTCTTCACTGAGTATTTGCAACAAATTAATAATTATACAGATAGATGATACAGATATTTTTGATTTATGCCCAATTTGAACATCTGAACATCTGAAGCATGGTCTGAGCTATGTTATTCCACGCCACAATGCAAGAGGGACAATCAAGAACTAGAGTTGGGTCTAGATACACCCTAGGCAGTGAGGAAGTGGAAAAAAAGCAAGGGGCAAGTTTGGAGGGACATGAGGGAGAAAAAGAGCCGGGATTCACGTGGGAAAAAGGCTCCCATTGTTCTCGCGCTCCTTGCTTCTGTAGCTGGTCCATCTTCACGAGCCTTAATAGGATTTGCAGCAATGGCAGATCAGGCTTGTTTATGCTCAGAAACCAGGTCGTCTGCGTGTGTGTCGCAGTTAATGCAGATATGCCCCCTACCCTTCCGCAAACACTCCGCTGCACCTCTCCTAAATTGTAGGTACCCTAACCCTAACATCCTGATCTCTCCTCTCTTGTATTTTCAGGTGCTTTTCAAGATGGTCCTGGGCAGTGCCAAATTTGGAGAAGCTGCACTCTTCCTGAGCATTGTAGGAAGTGCCAACGTTGTCTTCATCAGCTTCGTGCCAGTTATCCTGTATTTCACTCATGTGGAGTACATAGGCTCACTTGCAGATATCCCCTGGGCCTACCTCTGTGGAGTTGCAGCCTTGCTTTTCGGTATATGAACAGGGACAGGAATTTTTGCTGCAAAACTATGGGTTCTCATTGACATTCTAAATGTGTAACATATTTGTTATATTTTATCTCCACAGCTTTTAACATCCTAGTGAACTTTGGCATTGCAATAACCTACCCAACATTAATTTCCATTGGCATTGTCCTAAGTGTCCCTGTGAACGCAAGTAAGTGTCATAACCTTGCTTCCAGCACTGAATATACAGGTGTGGTCATGTTAGAGACTTAGACATGGACAATCTTCATTGTTATGTTGTATACACACAGTTTATACAACGAAATTTTATTAAATATGGCTTACAACCATGTACTGATGTTGCAGTTTGAGCAAGATAGACATTATGAATATAAAGCAGCAATGATCAGAATGTATCAATGTACAGTAGGAGAAAAGGAAACCAGTTTAAGTCATGGTGTAAGAGGGAATTAATATTAAAACGTTCAGTGCAATGCAGTGCAAAATGAATATGCTGCAAAATGCAGTGGAACGTTGAGTTGTGTCAAGTGCAGCAACATTGGTAATGCAAAATATTTTTGTGTGATGCAGAGTTCAGTTTAGGGTTAAACAGGGACAAACAGTCTGATTGTAGCGGAGAAAGCTGTTGCAGAACCTGCTGGTCTGAAAGTGGATGCTGCAAAGCCTCTTCCCAGAGAGCAGCAGGGAGAGCAGTCCATGATGGGGACGTTTCAGGATCTCTGGGAATTAAATGATGCATTTTTTAGATATGAGGAGCTAAAGGAGGTCTCACAACTGGTGGATATTTGTGCTACATGTCAGACATCCAGCGCTGATTGTGAAAGACGATTTGGTTAAATGAATCATATCAAAGCAACATCCAGAAATTGTCTTGCAGTGGCATTTTTGGAAAACCACTAGAGAGATCAGAAGGACAGATATGAAAAGTAGATCAAATTTAAGTCAGATTTTTTTTACATGTGTTACGATTCTTTATTCACTTATATATATTGTAAAATGCTTATACTCTAATATAAGTTATGTTAGTAGAAATGCTAAAAAAAAAATTGCAATTAAATAGTTACAGTAATGTATACTGTATCACAAGTTTCTGCACACATTTCATTGTGCAAAATTGGAATTTTTAATGTAACCAAAAGTTATGTTTGAAAGGGGTGATGTGGGGTGTACCCGGCACTCTGGCCAAAACATGACTATTAAATATAGCATACTACACATCATGAACAATAGGTTTTTTTGTTATTAAGTGGACCAAATTACTTAAATTAAAATTAAACTAATGGAAATTCTCTCTGTATTCTGTTATTCTTTTGATAAGCCTTGTAAGTTGCTCTGAAAGCTGTATCGTCTCAGCGTGCACATTAAAGACACATTTAAAATTAGAGGAAACATTATTGGGGAGTAATCTGGGGCTTATATTTTGGGATTTATAGGTTTCCTTTAACACAACATAAAAATCTACCATTTAAAAATTTAATAAAAGACAGCATTAATTAAAACGATCGTGTTATGTAGTTTCCAGTGTGTGTTTGCTCACGTTCATAATGGTTTTAAAAAAAGATATTCAAGCAACTGAACATTTCTTCTGTTTTTTTCCCTTTGGTTTCTTTAAATGTTTCAGATCATCAAAATAAATTAAATTTTGGAAGTTTTTTAGATAATTAAGAGATAAAGGATTTAAATCAGCCGGGTCCTAATTGACAATTTAAATCAGCCGGGTCCTAATTGATAAAGTAAAAGCCCCCCTATCTAATGACTGGCTGTGCCATCCTGTCTGTAATCTGACATCTGCCATCAAACAGTAAATGGTAATTCGTCTTTTATCACTGGGGATGTCTGACCCTTAACTCTTATTTGCTGAATTCGGACAAACTGTTGGTGTTACACCTTGAAAAGTCTCATCATATCCATCTGATTTAAGTTTAGACTTTGATTAGGCCTCTTAAAAAGCTTCATTTTCTTTGTTGATTATTTTCTTTGTTTATTTAGAAGAAATTGATTTTTCAAATTAGGCCAAGTTTTTTTTTTTTTTATGTTTATTAATGCAGGATCTCATCATTTTTAAACAGAATTTTGTATTTGCTCAGATTTATTTTGGCTGGTAATAAAGGCAGGAAAGAGGATTCTGTGCTGGAAGATATGTCCAACGGCTGCTTGTGTATTTCTGAAACGTGTGCATACGTCAGTGCCCCCTGCTTCGCAAAAGGTCTCTACGCAGGAAATGCCTCCACCGGTAATTTTGATTTAGAATGGTTTTGACAGCATAAGCAAAAATGCTATCCACTAAGCAGAGAATATATTTATCGGACACTGACTAAAAGCACGTCGACTAAAACCTGTCTCCATACAAGTAAAAATCGCATTCATTCAAATTTATCTGTCCATCAAAACTCAATTTTAGGGCATCCATGCTTAAGAATTATGAAAACATCAAAAATATCTTTAAAAGTACCATTTTCCTTCATATTTTAATCTGTTTCATTATCATTGTGCGAGAGCTTTGGGGCGATGCACGCTCCTGCGGCAGGGAAAGCAATTCTCAGCAGGCAGGTATTTCTTTGCATAACACCAGCGTGAGTTATATTTGCAATCTGTTGGTATAATTTACAGAAATTCTGTACTTAATACAGAATTACAGGTAATTTACCTGTCCAGCACAGAGTTCAGTGACCAAAGCATCTGTTTTTTAGCCCCTTTTGCCTCCGTCAGGTCACGCCATCTGTTAAAAGAATCTCCTAAACCTACACTTCTCTCCTACTTTCTCTCCTCTTTTCAACCCCCTTTAAAAAAAAAGGCTAAATTTTCCAGTTAGGTTTGTCATGATTGTTTTCGGACATTGATGCTCCAGTTTACACGAAAGAGTGAACAAACAGCTAAAAAAAAAGCAGCAGCAGCAAACAAACATAGGAGTACTTCTTTGTGCCTCAACGTTATGGGGGACCGCTAGCCAAACATGGCACAAGTTACGCTTGGAGCCTACATATATAACGTACTGGGGGCATGTATGCAAAATGCTGATTGACAAACAATCCAATTTCGACATGTAGGCCTCACCACGGCCAGAATTTATGGATTTAACAAGTTTTTGGGAGGCTGGTCCATAAGTGCAAGAATGCCAGTCATCAATTAATTAATTTTAGATAAATCTGGACACTTAATTCTACAAAAAAAAAAAAAAAATCCTCTTTAATACCTTTGAAGTTTTTTAAGGGGTGTAAATACTTTCTTAGGATCCAATATTAATACACCCTAGTTTTGTTTTGCAGTGGTTGACCTCTACACCTGTGACATCAAATTCAACACGGTGCGCCTCATTGCTGTGTTCATCATCTGCTTGGGTTTCCTCATGCTGCTGCTACCGGAGGACTGGGACCAGTGTATCATCCGGCTCACTACGAGGCTGCGCAAAAGAGACGACCCGGCTGAGGCTGCCGCTGAAACAAATGCCAATGGTGGCCTCAACTGGAGAGGAAGAGGCAGGACCTCCCTGTCAACATACGCACGTTGACTCCATCATAACCAAAGTGGGGACATTAAGACATCTGACCTGGCTAGGGGCCTACATTGAGCTTTGCAAAGCTGGTATTGGTTGGGACCGATATCAGAATATTTATCAAAGGGCGAGAGATGCAAGAGGCTTAGATTGTATAAGATATGATCACATTCTCATGGCTTTCTTTCTTTAAAAGTTTTCAGATCTGACTAAAGTTTCACCATTTCTTACCCTTTAAATTGTTCTGTTGTTTATCATATCCTGAGAAGACTTACCAGCTTGCCTGATCAATTCCAGTAACAAGAGAAATGAAAGCGGTGCATTTACTCGCACTGATCCAAAGAAAAATGGCTGAGAACAAAGGAAAGCCCATCAGTTTCCATCTTACGATGAAAACATGCCTTTTCTCTGCTCTACATAGCTTGACTGGCCAGGGACTTGTGGGCCTGATGGGCTCTTTTGGTGTAAAAAGGATCAAAGTAACAATCAAAGCTAAAAACCCATATTTTTGAACCCCCCCCACAATGTGTGTTTTCATAAGGCTACACATCTACAGTCTTTACTGGCATCATAAGGCCATTATGGGATAATAATGGCCTTTTTTATTGGTAATTGGAGAAATTTCTCCAATTTCTCCAACAACAAACATTCTCCTGTATTTATTAATGATTTATTGTGATAGACAAACAAGAACTTGAGCAAAAATTGTAAAGTGGAAGGAAAAGGGTAATGGGTTTCAATTTAATCTAAAAAGTGCGGAGTGTATTTGTGTTAAGATGTCCTTTGATTCAAAACTGTACAATTCTTGTTCAAGTCTTTCCAAAATACCAAGACTAAGTGAACCAGGCTGGACGCTTAATGTCTTTGAAGGTTTATTGCCAAAGATCATCGATTCTGAATATAACATATAAACATCCCTAACCTGAGCTGTTCCACTGTAGCCTTGTTGTATATTTAGTTTATGGGAATAACCGCTCTCACCATTATTCTCTAGTTGTCCCATCCCTGCTTAAAACACTGTTGCATCATGATGCTGCCACCACCTCATTTCCCCTTTTGTTGATGCCCAAGTGATTAAATACAAGACGAATCGACTTCCTCTCATCTTTCTTAAAAGATATTCAACCTCTCTCTGAAATTCGAATGAAAAAACAGTGTGATGGAGATTTGAGCATCAGCCACAAAAATAATAAAACTAAACAGATGAGATAGCTCCAGTTTTCTTCTATGGTTCAGCATCGACTCTTTTTATATGGTTTTACAGCTCCTTAAGACATATGAACAAAAATAAAATATTTAGGCTTTGTTAACATTTTGAACTGTGAAAAAAAGGGCTAGTGACTCAGGACCTGGAGGGCGATATTGTGGACCCCACAGGTCCTAAACAATCACTAGTGAGGTTATTCTAAATGTATCTCATACACCTAATGATCCAAGCAAGGCTCAGACCTGATGAAGCTCACTTTAATTCTGTCCAAGACATGGGATTTCCTTTTCTGCAAACGATCAATCATTTTCCTTCCACTTTACCATCATTTGTTAATTTGCTTTGGTATATAACAAACTCATCCTCCAAAAAATGCATTGGTTTGAGACTGATATGTTACTAAATGTGTAAAGGTTAACAAAATATCAATACCTTTGCAAGGCACTCAGTATATTCTCACTCAGTGCATGAGATTCAAATTGTCTGTTGAAGTGAAAATCATTTAAATGTGCTTAAAGAAACCCAGAGTTTGGGTACATTTAAAAACTTACTGCAGAACTGGCAGGGTACACGAAATAGAGAAGTTAAACCTCTTACTGAACACTTTACACACTCTTGGACACTTAAACAGAGCTATAAAAGTTCAGTTAAATTTTTTAATTCTTTGGAGAAAAGAATAGATGAGGTTTAATGAAACATAGCTTGGATTTCCTCTCCTCCTTTTCTACACAAACATTTCTTTACCTCTCTGTTAGTGATTATGTTTTGGACATTTTCTTTTTTTTTTTTTTTTGGATAAGCAGAAGAGCAGTTGAGGCGCTCACCCTGTGAAGTGACACTTGTGAACTCTGCTTTGTTGTGAATGTATGAATATCACTCCACAAATGCTGGTTACGGGCTGTTTTGTTTAATGCAGTGCCACCAAACTGCTGCAGAGAAATACGCTTTATTGCAACACTCCCTGATCTCATCTGGAGAAGTTGTTTCTCTTTTCTGTGTGGGGACATTTTCTTGGAGACTTTTTACTAGTTTTTTTATTTTTGTTTTTCATTTGGTGGCTGACCCACCTCAAGGACTTCTAGGATATCAAGGAGGAAACGACTGATACCCACAGAAAGAGCATGCACGTACCAGCTGAAATGTCAACTTCACTGCATTTTTTTGATTTTGCAATACAGTACATTCAGCACTGTTTCCCATTGTCATTCTCTATGGCAATAAATTATTATATTGTATTCCTCTGGAATTATCGCAAGACTAAAATGTAAACCTTTGTAAGGAAAGATTTTTACACTAAGATGATGCTACACATGGTTATATCACATCTGAGGAGTGAATATTTAGAGCGTAAATAAATGATGGATTTGTTAGATCCGCTACTGACTGTCTTTAAATGTGATTACATGTACCATATAAAAAGATTTGGTTTTGATATGGTTTTTCACAGGGTTTGTTCTCCTCAGCTTTGTATTTTACTTAAGCAATTTAAAACTTAATGATCCAAAACTAATCTCCCTGACAAGTTTAGTCCCTATTAGCACATCTGACATATTAGCATCCTGTCTATTATTTTTGTTTATTTAGTTTTTTCTAAAAGCGGGGAAGAAGAAATTTAGATGTGTTTTTTTTTTTTTTACTTTATGAAATTTACCAAGATGGTTTGGGATTTTAGAAAGTAGTTACAGGACATGTTAGGATGCAAACGTAACCATTTATGACATCACAATCATCCTTTTGGGACAGAAGCCGACAATTTTTAATCTGTCGAAGTTTTGATGTTTAATCCACCGTTTGCTATGCCTGAGTTACATAAAAGTGCATTTGAAAAATATGATTGTATATATATATATATATATATATATATATATATATATATATATATATATATACATAAAGTTATTTAATTTAGTTATTCATTAAAATTGGAAATAATTTAGATAATTATGTAGATATATTACAAACAGGCAGATTGTCAATAGTTACTTCTGTTAGTTTAAATGATTTTGGCTCACAGCCACTGAAAACACGACATAAGTAGATAACAAAATTAATGAATACCAATAAAAACATTATTTATACAGAACTACCATGTTCTATTCTTGTTATGATCAATGTAATCAAGGGGGAACTCCACAAATCATGACCGCTCAAAAAGAAAGAACACAAAATAATTGTTAAGGAAGCTACAGCTTAGGGCGGAGCTTTAAAGACTAGAAGGTGCAGAGGTTTAACCTCAGCTCTAAGAGAATTATAAAACAAAATAAAAAAGATTCATGACCCTTCAACTGCAGGACAACAGACACAGACAGACGCATTCAGCTGATGCATATCTTGCTTTCAGTTCTGAGCATCATTTAAGTAACTGAAGCTTTCTACTGGGAAGTATAGTTTCATATTCTAACAAGTTCAATGATACTGATATCATTTTGGCATTTTTTTGCACAACAAAAAGTACAAAAACCTACTTCAATGACATTGTATGACTCTGCAGACATAAACCTCATTATGAGTGTTTCAACAGGAAAATGAGAGACATCAGATCTACAAATGCAGCTGAAGGTTAATACCACACAGAACCACAGACCAATCATTTCCTTTATCCTCTGCACTGAGGCAGTAATTCATGTAAAGTAGCCCCAATCCAGTACTAAATGCATAGTCTATACAGTAAATGGAAATACTATTAAGTAGGCATTTTTTTCCCATGTTATAATTTATATTCTTCTTTGCTTTATGCACCACAAAAAGTTTTTATTAAGTCGCTTTAAAGCTAAATTTAACACAAGTGATGGAAAAAAAATCAGTGTTTTAATAAATCTGTATGTCTTTGCTGAATTACTAAAATAAATGACCTCATTGATAATATTCCTAGATGGGTAATACTAACAGACATCATGCTCTACAGTCACTGTGACCTGGCCAAAGGAAAAAGTGGCCCGCTGCTCCTTGGTTAGAGCAGAGAAAGGAAGTCTGCTGCCCTCTAGAGGACGAGAAGGGACCTGCAGATTGTTTGTCTTCTCACAGACAGCATCCTGGCACACAGAGGGGGAGTTTTCATGGTGGCACATGTTACATAGATGCACTTCAGTGTGTCTTTTAAAGGCAGCGCTAACGGAGAAAATAGAAGAGGAGAACTTAGAGGGGTCAAAGTTCAAACTGTCTGTGCTGGAATGTGAACTGTGTTGGGTTGTAGTCAGGGAGCAAGGGTCACTGTTCCTGACATCATCCCCCTCTACTCTGACCTCCCATTCTCTGCCCAGTGTGCTCCACACATGAGCTCTGATCCTGTACCCAATTCCCTTAAGAGCGCTCTGGAAGCGCTGGCTGAGCAGAGCGTAAAGCAAAGGGTTGACATCAGAGTTAAGCAACATCAGCCAGTAGGAGAAGGTGATGGCAGAGTCTGGAACGAGGGTAGATTGGCCTTTAATGGCAGTTTCTGTGGCCTGAACCAGAGCCACACATATGAAGGGTGTCCAGCATAGGAGGAAGGCTGAGATGATGAGAAGGAGACGCACCGCTCCATGGTGGTGCTGCTGGTTGTTTGACTCTGATGTCTGCAGTCTGATGGAAAACAAACTCCTGACTGTAGTTGTTTTTTGCTGTGTTGGAGATGCATGCCCAACCTGGCTAATATTATCTCCAGAGTCCTCGTTTATGTGAGATGTAAGACTCCAGGGTCTATGCAGGTTTATACGTGGCTGTTGGGATGAATCCCTGGCAGCACAGGGGGACCTGCTGCGCTGGACAGAGTCCTCCAGTGAATGGATCCTCCTGGCATGGCTGCGAGCCACCCTGATAATGTTCACATAGCAGAAGAGAATCACCACTGCTGGTATCAGATAGGTGAGAGCAGCCATGAAAGCTGTAAAGCTAAGAGTGGTGGCCCAGGTGATGGCACAATTATACATGGGGACCACATAGGTGACAGAGCCCCAACCCATCAGAGGACAGCTGCAGACAACAAGGGCTTGAAGCCAAATCCATAGGACTACAGCACAAATCCTCCACAGGGTGCAGCGGGAAGTATAGCGCAGGCAGTCCATGATGGAGTAATAGCGGTCAAGAGCGATAGCAGTGAGTGTGAATACAGAGGCTGAGCAGTACACAGTGGAAGAGTACCCCACATACAAACAGAGGACCTGGAAGAAAAGATCAAGAGTCAGTGCATCCAAATAAAGAGGCTTCATCACACTCAATCATTAAACAGAAGACACTTACAGGACACCGCACCCATCCAGTGTTTAGGATGGACATAGCAACAAAAGGCATGACACCGATGCCGACCAGGAGGTCACTGATGGCAAGGTTAAGGATCAGAACAGACGTCACTGCATGGAGGGTCCTGGTGGCCGCCACAATAATGATGACGAGAGCATTGCCTGCATCAAAATACATCAACCAGAATCAAACCGTTAGTCAAAGGTCACCCAGGCTGGACTTAAAGAAAGCCAAAAAAAAAAAAGTTTAGAAATGTCTCCAAAACCATGGCAACACAATTCTGCAAGTAGAAAAACACTACTTCAAAAACTGCTACTAAAAAAAGATGCCTTGTTAAAGTTCCTTTTAAAATCCCAGGGTGGTTTTAGAGAAATGTTTAGATTTCTTTTTCCTTCCCTTCTGCACTAATTTACTGGAAAAAACGGTCACACATGAAGACACATTTTTATGCAGAATTTCCAAAATACAAAAAAAACAGCCAGCTTCCCATTGATCTTAATGACTGAGACTGAAAGAAAAGTTGATTTGGTTTTGCTGGCATTTTGCATTTAGTCTCGGCTGCTGAGGAAAGTGATTAGATGAAATGGAATTATTACAAAGTTGCTTAAACTTAATAATTATTGCTTTGTATTTTAGCACTGATAAAACAGCTTTATTGTTAGCAAAGTAAGTAATAAGGTAGGCCAGTAGAGATCAATCTGTTAATCCAAGAAAGGTCAGAAAGGTTTAAAAAGGGAGAGCTGAAAGAAATCCTTTTGCTTTTTTCAACCTTTACCACATTCAAGAGAACAGAGGCTTTAAAAAAGCCTCACAGGTAAGATTATTGCTTTACCCAAATCTATGGCTGATTTAATCTTCAAACTCTTCAAGGGGGATTTAATTGACGAAATCTGTAGTGTGCCGAGAATGTAGGTGACAGGAGGAAGTCCTGAAGGGGATTTAACTGAGAGAGTGTTTCCATAAATATAGAGCTTGATTGGAAAACACACAAGGAAGTCACAGAGAAATTAGATAAAGTTAATTTGGTTTGGGCTCACCCACAATTTTAAATCAAGATACTGGAATTATAGCAGATAGCTTCATTATGACAGAAGGCAAAATGGAACCTAGCATTATTTTTTTTTTTTAGCTGATGCTGAACTATAGAAGTTTATGTTATTACAACAATGATTCAACAAAACTAATTAAAGACAATTACTCAAAAAAATTCTGGCCACAACTGTAGTGTTTTAAAATGTTTCTTCTATTTGCAGTGAATTGGTCCCATTTATAGAAGCAAACTGAGTATGGTAGTAACTTAAGTTTTCTTAAATTAAGCAATGCTTTCTTAAAAATATTTTTTTTCAAAGTAGAAAACTAAATGAAACAAACAATGAAAGATAAAGTAAACCTCCCACAGGTCAGTACTGTACCTATGATGGCTCCCAAACACATGAGAACCATAAGAGCCTCCAGGAGCAGCTGGGTCTGTTTGGACATCCCATCCTTTGCATCTTCTCTTCTGCTGGTGTTGATCCCTGCAGCCTGCAGAGGTGACCTGAAGCCATCCAGATCGTCCATATTAATATAATTTAACTGCTGTCTTTACATGTTGAAGAATCCAGAAGCAGGATTGGCTTGGAATAACAAAAAAAAGATTGCTATCCCTTGTGATCCATTTGCTCTCAAGCTAATATGACGGTCACCAGGTAAACCAGATGCTTTTTATACGAGGGGAGGAGGATGTACATGCGCAAACATGAATGTTCTCTAAACATTTCAAGTTTTTTCTTTTTGTATTCTTATTTTTTCCTCAATATTTTAAAAAAGGAAATCAGGTGAAGCCAAACATAAAAAATACATTTTCTTTATTTTCAAAAAGTACAATTTAATTTCAAAAGATGAATAAAAAAACATTTAGACTATAGAAGATGTAGCAAAAATCTATAACAGAATATAGTTTTAAATAAAGTCAAAAAACAACATGTCAGAGTAACAAATACATGTTTATGCAGCAGCTCTGCTACACAGAAACAGCCTCCATTGGTTTTCCAGACGGCTGAGAGCAACATTTAGTTAAAATAACTGATTCCCATGAAAGGATCCTGTTAAGGCATAAAATTTGTTCAGATGAGAATGAACCCAGACAGGATTCTGGAAGTTTGTTTAGGAGCAACATCAGTCGGCTTCATTTGTTCCAGTGATGAGGTGCTGCCGTGTGTACTCCCAGATCAACAGCGCGGCACTAACGTGCACGTTGAGGGAACGGATGATCCCCTGTTGAGGGATCTCCACGCACACGTCCAACATCTGGAGCAAATTGGCAGGAATACCTTCCCGTTCATTGCTATGAAGAAGAAACAGACAAAAAATATATTGTGTAAGAGATTTTGTTTAATTAAACAAGGGTTTTGTCTTAGTTTTTAAAAAAAATCACCAATTTAGTCTGCTTGGTCATTGATACCTCTTTTTATAAAACTAATGAATAAAAAACTAAATGGATTATAATAAAACTCAAAGGTATAAGGATTAACCTAAAGCTCAGACATAGTTAATATAATAATATAATATATAATATAAACTCAGTATTTGTTATTATAGTCCTTTGAAAAGGTCCCACCTCTCTGACTGCAATTGCATTGTGTTACATATCAGGGTAGGTTTTATTGGGATTTTATATGACCACCCAAAACAAAAGCTTTAGTATACTCTTACGGTAGATGATGGCATGCAACAAATTCAACCCCCTTAAATCAGCTGCCCCTAAATAAAACCCAGCGCAAACTGGGTACCAAATTGCCTTTAACATCAGTAGAGTGGCTAAAAAGTTTCTGATCACAGACGTTTTCCTACAAAATTTTTAGTTGTTATTGCTACACACTACTGACTTAGCGGAGCTGAATTAAACAAAGACATTTCACATTTTCAGGGGAAAAAAACCTGTGCATTCATCATTCTGCTTCATAATTATGCATGAATTGATGTCGGTTTACCACATTAACTCCAAATAACACACATTGAAGTTTGTGATTTCATGAAATAAAACCTCAATAGGTGCTATTTTTTGTTTTATTTAAAACTCCCCCCCCCCCCCTTACATTAAAATCGGGCTCTTGATAAAGATAATAATTCCGTTTAATTCCAATAATAAAACTGTAATAAAGAGAGTACATACACTGTCCCATATCAGCCATGCAAAGTAAACATAAAAGGGTAATAAGCGTCTGGCATCTAATCTCAGCAGTCAGCCTCACAGCGAGCAAACGCTTGTTGATGGGTTACATTTATCTGGAGGGCAAGTGGCTGAGACAATAGAGAGGCTGATGGGAAATTAGAGTCAGGCCATGCTGTGCAGAGCCGAGTGCAGCGGTGGGAGCATTAAAGGGAGAGTTTACACACAAGGTGCTTACGCCAACAGCAGGGCTTCAGTGTTTGAACGGAGCTAAACAAACTAGAATGCCTACTTGTGTGTGTGGGGTGTGGGTGTGGAAGTGTTGTTCTCCTTCTGCCTCATGATCACCACCATATGAAGAAGGTACAGTTTTAAAACAGTCTGTCTGATCACAAATTTCAACTGGGATGTAAAGAAGAAGTTTGGTGCCACTAAATGTAACATATAATACAGGTTTGTCTTTTGTAATCACCCTCATTGTGTCAGTTTGAGTAATTCGTATCCTTCGTTCCCCTCAGGGAGAGCCAATTATAGGGAAGCGTGCCCCGACAGGTACACAAGGCGAAGGGGGGGAGGAAGCCTCGCAGGGGCAAGAACTTAACTGGTGAGAGAACGCTAACTGGCTTCGTCAGCTCACTGAGGGATACCGAAAGGTGTGGAGGAAAGAGAAGGGTGGAAAAAAAACTAAAAACAGCAACTGACCCCGTTTATAAACTCGATATATTTAGTGCTGTCATACCCCAGAAGAAGCAGCGTTTTCTCAGGGAACTTAAAGTCCTGCAGGCTCTGACTATTGGCTGTCTGCTCCACGCCGACGATACAGTAACCTTCGCTCTTCTTTACCTGCAGGAAATCTGTGAGCTCCACAGGCTTCACCTGGAGGAAGACAGAGCTATGTTGATGATACAAACATAGCATCACAATGAAAAAAAAAAAAAAAAAAAAAAAAGAACATGTAGTGTTTGCACAGAGAAATAGATCACAGTAAATCAGTGATACACAGTGGGACGATCATCTAGATCAGCTCTTCCTTTTATATGTAGTCTCTCCCTACTGGTATTTTCCTATTTATCTTACAGATAGACATATATGTTAAAAAAAACTATAAACTAGGGCTAATTTAGTAATCGATTAATTGTTAACTGGAGTATAGAATCTAAAATGTACCTTTAGCTGACAGAGTCTACTGTTTGTATATAGCTTCTGTGTATATATATATATATATATATATATATTTTATATATATTCTATCTTATTTTGCTATTTTGTTTTGTTTTTTGTCTGCACCAACAACACCAAGTCAAATTCCTTGTAAGTGCAAACCTACTTGGCAATAAACTTGATTCTGATTCTGATTCAGAGTGACCCACTTTGAGCAGCAATTGTTAAAAAAAAAAAAGTTAAAATTTTGCATTTAAGATAAAAATCTTTTTTGTCTGTCAATATACTCTATCCAGAACTTCCTTAAGTGGAAACGTTTTAGTTTCACCTGGTTTAATTTATTAAAAAGTCTTCTTAAAGGAACCTTTTGCTATCCGATTAATAAAAAAAAAAACGATGTTCAAAATAATTGTTAGTTTTAGCCCTACTATAAACTTTTTAATTTCATGTTTCATGCACAAATTGCTTTGTATTCCAGATGTAAACTAAGTAGATTAAACAGAAGAAAACATCACTAACAAATAAACCTTTAAAAAGCGGTGCTGAATTTGTATTTAACCAACTTTATCATAAAAATCTAAATCCAGTGTAACCACTTACTGTCAGTCAGTCTATTAATTCATAAACAAACTCCAACTGTCTCTCTATCTCCTCTGGTTACCTCAGTTGTTTGTTGGAGAACTCCACCTCCACCAAAGATGCACTTTGTGGCTTTAAATCTTATGCAATGTTTAAATGGATAGTAAATAGTGACAAAGTTAATGCCCTAAGTTCACCTCAAACAAAGGAAGCCAAAGCTCGGATGAGACGCTCAGGGACTGGAAGTGTTTGTCATTGAGATGGTGGAGACTGTCCAGAACCAGACCACTGGCCCCGAATATCTCACATGTCCTGCAAAGACCTGGAACAACACAAAGACAAGCCAACACCTTCATAAAGTCTGCTCCATGTAATATAGATTATTATAAGCTCAAATTATTGTTACAATAAAATCTTCCATGGATTGAAAGTGTCATTTTGTCTTCTATCCATCAGACCGACAGCACATTTAAAGAAAATAAAGCTTAATGCGAAAAGTTTCAGACTCATCTAATCGGTGATGTTCCTTTAGTGAAAACCCCAGAAAAGGTTTTACATTTTCTACCGAATATGGTAGGAATAAATTGGAAGGAAAATCTCTATTTTGACACATGGTGATGGCAGCATCATGCTGTGGCGATGGATCGAGTGGATCTAAACAAACAGCCCATCAAAAATGTTTAGATATAATGATAAAAAGGGTTTGAATAGGTTTGTAAGGTGATGTTCATATTCTTTGACATAAATGTAGAGATAAGCTGTTTTTGTTTATTTGAAAGATGTGAAGACGTTAGACAAAACAAAACTTTTTTTTGTAAAGCTTAGATTGCATGTTAAGTCAGTGGATCTCACCTCCCAGATTGGTGGGTTTGTCGATCAGTGAGGCCACCACCAGCAGGGTGCCGTGCTGCTTGCCGAGCCGAGCCGCCCTCTGTGCTGGAACCAGCTTTAGTTCAGGTTCCTGCTCATGGACCCCCAACCTCCAGGGTGTGATCTTCTTCTGCACTTCAGCCCAGCGCTCCTCTTTATCCTGCTCGCCTGGGAAATGCAACAATAAACACAAACGGTAAGCAGAGGGTGAGCTAACCTGGTCGTTTAGCGAGTCCTACTGTTAAAAAGAAACATCACTGTACTTCGGTCTTGCTGGACCCAATCTCCAGGCTGGAGCCGGCCCAAATCTGGAGCAGGATTCCTCAACGGCGTTGATAGACTTTCACAAGCAAATGAGAGCTTTTCAAACTTCCATGGTGGGATCCACTCATCATCAGCCAACTCTGACAGACTAGGAAACGTGTAGAAGATGGTCTGAAAAACAAACAAAAACAGGAAAGCCAGTTGATTTTACCACCTGTGCTTCAGGAAATCTTGCAAAACAATGAACCTACTTCCAGACTATAATCCCGGATGGGATGAAAAGCACTGAAGAAGAAGTGCCCCTGAATCCTCAGCCAGTTCTTGTTGGCATTTCTAAGAGGAAAAAAAAAACAAAACAGCAAATGCATCTTAAAATAAGCTCATTGTAACGGTTACAAAACAAGCCTGCTGCAGGTGTTGAGCTCTAACCCAGAGTTCTGCATGGCCTCAGCCTGGTTCAGACAAGCCGTCACCACAGACGACAGTCCTCTGAAGGCATCACCCTCTGTCACGCTTTCTGCAAGGCTCCACACCCTCTTCAGGGCCACTAAGGCATACAGACGCACACTAAAGTTGTGGTTGAAACACGACTGCAGGATGATGTCCAGTGCTTTACGCAGCTGGTCGACCTTTAAAAGAAAAAAATGGAAAATCAAATCGACATAAGCACAGAGGAATAACACAGTCATATAGAGCAGTAAAATAAAGATGGCCTTACTTTATCCTCAACATGTGGAATAATGACACTTATGTGTACCAGGACAGACAGGAAGGTGCAAATGCTGGTCTTGGTCTTTTCGTGGTCCTGCAGAGAAAAAAGGAATTAATAATATGCAATTTTATTCAGTTGGTTATTCATCTACAAAATGAGCTCACAAAGCTGAAGCAGGTCCAGAATCTGTCCAAATGATGAGGATACTTGACAAGGATGAGAATCATCATCCATTCAATCAGGTACTTCACAGAAGGCTGGTTGCTACAAAATCCAGCTTCAAACACGCTGTTCAACAGAGTGGCAACAAATTCCTGCACACAAACAGAAAAGGTTTGATCCTAAAACTGAAATTTATAGAAAAAATGTCTCTGAAACTCTTTTCTACTCACCTCTGTGAGTTTGGGAAGCAGCAGTAGCAGTGTTTGCCATGCTCTGTTTTTGATGCGATGCTGCAGGGAGTTGCTATAGTAACGGACTTTAGCCTTGGATATGAGGCTGTCCTGTGGAGATGGAGGTGGCTGAATTAGTTCACACTTTGATAGCTGGAATAGATCACCATGAAGGTTTTATCTCACTTGCAGATGATCTATTTATGGTCAAATGTTTGAGATAAAATAAAATTTTACTACCGGACAAAAATAACCCGAGTATTTATTTTATTTATGAAGTAGACGGTTATATAAAGCTTGGCTTAATGAGACCCCATCATTAAAATAGGAATTATTGTGATTAACCATATTTTTAGACAGCATTGTTTTAGTGATTACTGTCTGTTACCACTAGACCTGATCTAAATAGAAGCTGTCCATGTAGAAAACTTCCTTCAAGGAGATGTAAAACACCTATTAACACTCGATGAAAGTTATTGTCCCCAGCAGTAGCAAAACCATTTATTAGGTTTTAGCTCTCTGAAAACTGCATTTTCTATTTAATCATTTTTTCCATTTTTTTCCTGTCAAATGGAAGAAATTTGTATGCAGGCAAATTTGTTCCTCTGCATGGTGATAATATTTGTTTTTTGGCTCATGAAAATCAACATCCATTTATCTTAGTTGCTCTGTTTTTTCCTTTTAGGAGACAGATGAAACTTTGTTTTTCCTTTCAGGATGAGGAAGTACTTGTTCTGTTATATGTGCTTCCCTTCACTGCATGCAAACATACAATTTCAGTTTTCCAGATTTTTGAGGAATGGGATTAAAAATGAAAATTATTAGTTTGACTGGTCACTTTGTAGTATATTGACATTTTCAGAGAAATATAAATTAGCTTCTTGTCAAAAAACTAAAACAAACAAAAATTGTATTAATCATTAGAAATGAATTATCTTAAAACAATCAAAATGCGATAAATTATGTTAAATAATTTAACCTTGGGTTCATTTTGTAATAAAAAAAAAATTTTGTTAAAAGAAGCTCAGCAAAATCAAGTCATTTTAAAGGACCATTTGATTTAATTTCAAGTTAATAATTATAGGGACATATAAAGTAAACCCTGCACAAAAAAAAGGTCTAACCTTGCTGTTAATAATCAGTATTTATGAAAGTATGAGGGATCAATATGTGTCTAAGGTAAAAAAAACCAAAAAAACAGAAAAAAAAACTATTTTAAAAGTGGGATGTAACAAATGAGTCACGAGTCTATTATTGATTTTAAAGCTGTTTTGTTAAAAAAAATATTAGAAATGAAAAGAAATTGCATAAGGTAACCTACATGGATGCAGCATTTACCGACCCGCCCATTATTCAACGAGTACCTTTCTCAGTAACTCCACCACTAACTCCTCTATGAGTCTCTGATGCTGCTGATTACAGGGATCCAGGCGGCTGAGGAAGGTCAGCACACATGTGCGGGGTAGCTGATCGTCCCTGTTATCACTGAGAGAAGCACAACAGCTATTAGCACACCAGGAGGGACCTCTAGTGGTGGTTCATGTTAACTTACACATCTTGACTCACCTAGCAACTGCAACATTAGCTGCACAATTTTCACCAAGTTGCTCCACGAATATTTGGACATCTTGGATGAGTCTTTAAAAAACACACATATAATAGTTAAAAGAAGATAAAGGAACAGGAAGGGAAAGCTGTTTGGACTTACCGTTGATCTCTCCTGAACACTGGTCCATATAGACAAGCCTCAGTGACTATATCCAGGTGGTTAAAGACGCTAGAAAAAATCCCATCAGCCAGCTCACTGCTGCCTCCCTCACCGGGCAGCCATGTCTGAGTACAGTGCTGAACTAGGACACCAAGTACTCCACTTTTTGACTGAGACAGCTCCACTACCTCCGTAAAAATCTAAAAAAAAACAAGCATTTAACCACATGTGAAATAGAACCGTAGAGGATAACAGAAGATGAAGTTATTTTGTCCAACTGTAATTCACCCTTTTCAGCGCTGCGGTCAGAGCTGGAGCCTGCTGATGGTTCAGCTTCAGCAGCTCATGTTGGAAGGCTATAGAAATGAAGCCTTGTAAGGCTGGCCAGAAGTCATGAGCATTGTTGCTAAGCCCCTGTACAAGCTCCCAACTCAGATTGACAGCCTGCACACAGAGATCCTCCTCATCGTCCACCAGCTATGATTAAAAACAAACCAGATCAGGTCATAAAGGAGAAGGGAAGCCATCCTGAAATATTCTAGAACTCCTCCATGATCCGACAGGATTCATTCTTGCTGTGGTGAGACTCACCTGTGGCAGCGCCATGTTCATAAAGTTCAACACAGGCAGGACAAGGTCACTGGGTAGCAGAGCCAGAGCCTCAACGCTGCAGCTCAGAGCAGCCCTGAGGGTCTCAGACACTTTGGGGATCCCTACAGACCTGATCAGGAAGTTTAGACAAACCCACTGGTCCCGCAGGAAGCTGGCAGCAATGCGCCCCCAGTCCTGCTGCAGAAGGCCTTGAGTCACAAGGTCACTGTTAAAAAAAGGGAAAAATCTTCTAAATCTGGGAGTCTTACATTTATTAGATATTTAATGAATATGATTTTACTCTATTGTTGACTTTCCACAAACCTTGTACTATCTAACAGCTGTGGTTTCATCAGACGTTTATTAATGTTTCCAAGAGATGGTTGAGATTTTGTAGAAGTGTCAAAAGTGTAGAAATAATCATTGAGGGACTTTAGGGCAGAGGCAGTCTCTGATGACATGTTAGTCCCTCCCTGCTGCAGCAGATCACACACAGCAGCCAAAGATGCCATACTAACCGCCTCAGACACCTGGTTTGCAACAGAGGGGATCTAAAACAACATAAAACAGTCTGTGCTGAATTACTGAGCAGCAAACCTGATGACGGGGAGCATATATTTAACTGCGTACCTGCTGGGTTGGCTTTTTTAACACTGAAAGGCTATACATGATGAGTTTAGGCGAAGCATACTGATGAATGTTCTTAGAGCCATGAGGTAGAGAGCTGCTCAGTGCAGCCAGCTGCTTCAGGACACAGAGATACAGATCAGCCCGTTCAACGTCAAAGAGCTGTGGAAGAAGCAAAACGCAGACATCTGGGTTTGTGAATAAGGAGGAAAAATTATGAATTTCTTTTTGCTTCCTGCATTGCAAAAACCACCTAGAAATACATAAAAATGTCTTCAATTAAGGGTTAGGGTTATTTTACTTACCCTTAACCTTAGTAGGTAAATAAGATGATTTGCCAATTAAATTATTATTTACATTAAAATAAGACAATGCAATTGTTATTTTCTCATTTTAAAATCTAAATTGTCCTTTTTTATTGGCAAAGTGCCTCACTTACCTCCTCAATGTACTTATTTTAATTTAAAAAATACTCTTTCACAGTGGGATTACCTCCTGTAGCTCCCCACAGAGCCTCCTTAGGATAAAATTCTGGACTGGATCCACAACTTCAACAACAGCTTGTTCAATGGCCAACATCAAATCGTCCTCTGCGCACACACACACACAAAAAAAGAGTTGTAATCAAAATAAGAAAAAGACCCCAAATATGCACCAATAGGTTACTGATTCTTTTAACAGGCAGCATTTTCTTTTTATTTGCATTTTTATGCCCTCTGACCTATTATAGACAATGCTTAGTCTAGTGAGTGTTAGCTGGTACAAACCAAAATGTTTTGCACTGATTCCTCTCCTCATCATCATTTAGACCCCATCTGTAATATTATTGGCCTTTAATACTTTAGTATCATTGTGGTTGTTTCAGTAATCATTTTTTTTTATTACATTTAGCTTATTCAGAACACATAGGCTGTAACTTCTGCTAAAGCTAACTTTTCTTGTTTTTAAATAATAAAAAAACATAATAATTCCTTTACCTTTTCTGAATAGACCAAGATGTTATATATCTATATCTTTTTAAATATGTTTTCCCCTTAAAGACCATTTCCTCCTACTTTGATCCATAGGCACCATTTAAGCTTTAAGCAGTCAAAAGACACAGGTAGTAATTATTCATTTTTACACACAGTAATTATATCAGCTGATGTAGATGACATCGTTTATGACGTTTTCCTTTTACTGCAAACATGGAAGCTAAGTAAGCGTTTTTTCTAATGATAGGAATTAAGCTGCTGCTGGCGTAGCATATCGTGTTGGCACCTTATAGGACAGATGCTTATCTTTGGCTCACTGTATGAATACTTTTATTGTAATTCTGGTCTGTTAATTTCTATGCTCCAAAGCAATTTTGAACAGAAAAAGGACAGATGAGAAGTCTAATTTGTCTTCTGCTCTTCCAGCACTTTGTAGTTTTATTTTTTGTTGTTTTAGACACTTTAAGTTGAATTCTTATAAACATCTAGCACTAATATCAAAGCTGTTTTGCTCATCATTTGATCATTAAAATATTTGGTCCTCCTAATTGTCAATCATTCTGGTGATATGTTTACGTAAGGCCGTCCTACGTGCTCGTCCCTATTTTCACTTACCGTTGGTGAGTCTGACATAGTGGAAAAATTGCAAATCTTCTTTTGGAAAGTAAGCTTCTATGAGCGATGCAAACAGAAACTTTTAAAAAGAGTGTGCATGAGAAGAAATACATGCTCTCGCACAGGTTTAATAGACTTTTCATCTCGGGTGCGGGTACAAGGTTGTGCATGTGTTTTATTTTTTTTAAAGTAGAGAGCTAAGTAAGCGTTTTCAAAAATCCTCCATAATACCTTTAATTTAAAGACTGGTTGCAGATCTGAAAGTCCTTTAATTTCATTACTTCTTATTTAATTACTTTATTGTGTCTAATAACACGACCATGTGCAATATTGGCAATTTAGTACTGAGCAGTATTGAAAATTGTAAATACTGTTGATTGTATATAATGTAATCCTTATGTAATGTAAATCTTCTATCTTATTTGTACTTACAATCTTATTTTTTCTCTCTTCTGTAAATGGTTGCACTGCTAGAAAATAATTTCCCACAAGGGATTCATAAAGTAATTCTGATTCTGATTATTTAGGGAAAAAACAATTCCAGCTCTAATTATCCACAATAACAAATAAAAGAAAAACAGTTAGAGCAGGAAAGGCTTCCATAAGCAAACTTTGTAAACTTGTCTATCTGGTATCCAAAAGTCCTAATCTGAAGGATCAGGAACCTTCTGCTTGCTTATAGAAACATAAACTACCTGATTTGTTTTACAGCTAAAAGATTTTATTGGTTATTTGGGGAAAATATGTATTTGATGAAAGATGAGTTACACTTCCTGAAAAAAATGTTAAGCGCCCAGAATCACTGTTTGACGAACTTCTTTGAGTATGTTTGAAATATGGCATTTTCCCTGTTTTTACACTTTGACAGATTTTTACCCAAAACCTCTTGAATGCTAAACATTTGTTTTAGTCAGACAGAGTATTTTTTTTTTCCTTTTCATCAATTTTACATTATTATTTCAGAACACTAGGGACCCAACAGCGAAAAAAATGACTGTTCTTCAATTATCTAAATCGAATATTTGTATGAATTCCATTTACTGTGTTAAAACCAACATTAGTGGATATTTGACTGCTGTATCAATGCAAACCTTCCAATCCTTGCTGCTGACAACGTGGCCTTGTGCTGAGCTGCAACAGTCTTAACATAAGCTGCAGACTCTTGTCGCTCTTATGGACAGGCAGGTAGATATTGGTGTAGACTCTGCTCAGGGTGTCCAGTAGTGGAGACAGCAATGACCTCAGAGTTTCCCTGGCATCTTTCTTCAGTTCCCTCCTCTCCATGTCCACACAGAGCAGAATGGCCCTGGCCAACTTATCAGCCTCTCTAATGTCAGGTAACCTTTCTGCCTGACCTATGCATGAGAAAGACAGACTTTGATTAGAATCATCTGCAAACACATCACATCTACAGATACAGTAAGACACAAGCCTCACCTGTGCTTGCTGGAACACGAAGATAAACGATTACTTCTTGTTGAACATAGAGTCTTATTGTTTCTTTTTGTGCTGGGCCATCGACGCAATCACCATCCAGAATTCTGGGCTTGAAATTTCCATCATGTTCCGACAACCAGATGCACAACTTATGTGGAGTAACAATCAGTTATTGCAACTTCTGCATTGGATATATTTTGATTGAATGAGCGTTAAAAGAGCAAACCTCATTCCATAGTGTTGTCCCTCTGCACAAAGACTCATCAGCACGGAAATGCATCAGGAAACTGAACACATCATCTCTGGTAACTTCACTCTGAGATAATAAAAACATGATTATTAGAGAATTTATGTCACTAATCTTACTTATATCATTAAATTTAGCAATATTATTTAAGGACAGGAATTATTAAGTTGAGTAAAATCAGTGCAATGTAAAAACTTAGTAACTTTTTAAATGCATTGAAGAAATTAGACACAGGAAGTCAGATTATTTCAAGTCTTAAAGGCATAGTGGGGGACTTTTTTTTCCCGGGGAGGATAATTAAAGTAAGTGGTCCTTCAAACTGTCAATCATTCTGGTGATACGTTTACGTAAGGATGTCCTACGTGCTCGTCTGCATTTTCACTTACTAGTGGTGAGTCTGACATAGTGGAAAAATTGCTAATCTTGTTTTGGAAAGTGGGCTTGTATCAGCGATGCAAACAGGAACTTTAAAACAGAGTTGAACGAGGAGAAATGGGTTCATGCATGATCTCTCATTTATAAGGTGTTCCCTCATGGGAGCGGTACAGGGTTGTGCGTGAGCATTTCTTTTTAAGTGGAGAGGTCTGGTCTTTTAAAAAAAAAAAGGAATGAAATCGACCCCTATATCTTTAAATAAAACAAATAATTATAAAAAAAACACAAAGTTGGAACTCTGACAGGGAAAATCAGACAAATAATGTAGAAAATTATCATATAAAACATTTATTAGCACTATAAGCAAAAGAAAATATTTACACCAAATTTGAAAAATAATTTAACCATAAAAAATTAATAAAATTAATTTTATGCTTACTTTGACTGAAAAACCATTTTATCTTTATACAAATAACTAACTGCAATTGCACCTAAAATGTCATATTAATCCCACTTAGGCAAACTGTTTTTAAAAACTTAGTAAACCTTAAAATAAAAATGTTTCTCTTATAATCACCATCATTTTGTTGATGTTACATTTATTTCAAACAAACTTGATCTTCATCTCACCACATCTATTAGAGAAAGGGTGCTCTTTAGTAAAAAACACTGTGCAGCTCCTCTCAGCAGGACCTGATGGGTGATCATAGTAGAGCGAAGTACCTCCCTGGAAACCACATCATCAACTGAATTAGCCTCTTTACCTAAAATAATGTGTTCCAAAGACAATCCTAATGAGAAAATAAGTTACCGAAGAGCAGAGAGCCCGCTGCTCCTCAGCAGAGGACTCTGAGGGAGTTTGGACAAAGCCTGGCAGATGAAGAGGAGTGGTACTGCACACCAGTGCTTTGATCCGAGCTGCTGAATCAGCTGAAGCAAAACACAACCTACAGAGCAACAACAGTTAGAAACAGAGAAGAAAATGTGACTCATAGACGTGTTTTACTTCTGCTGCACCTCTGTCCTCTGATGGCAGGCTCATGAAGAAGTTGACCAGGAAAACTTGGAGTTTACCCGCCAGCTCCGGACAATCTCCTACACTCTGCCCGGGTGACCTGCATACAGCCAGAAGTGCTGTTATTTAAAACTAATAAAAGTTAAAAACATAGTCCACAGATTTATTGATATTTAAAGAAAACTTTTTTTAAATCCTCACCTACAGAAAAGGGATGTTTCAGAGAGAACATCCATAAAGGGACCGACGACAAACTACGAGAGCAATGCACCACAGAAATGATTTAAGGTAGAAAGAAAGTCAACGGGGGTTAATTTGTAATAATGATTAGAATTTCCTTGTAGCAAATACCTGAGAAAATGCCGCAGCAAATGCTGACTGCCTTAGAACCTGTAGCTCAAGCAGATGGCACACTCCTTCTCTCATCAAGGATTTATTCTCACTGTGGAACATGCGTTGGTAAACACACAGCAGCCAGGAGGGGTGGAACAGGCCTAACCCTGCAACACAGGTCAACAAACTAGCATTTAACTCTGTAGCAGCTCCCCAGCACTTCAATCCCTCAGCCAGTCCCAATGGGTTCATTTAGCGTTTTATTTTCTTTGATGTGGATCCACCATAATCATCACAGTCACCACAGTTTCCTTAGTCACCATGGAAACTTAAACATATACAAATATTAGAATACAAAACATAAACTTACAATACAAACAACTAAACAAAATGTAACTCGCTGCTTTCACTGGGGAACACTGTTTATTTCAGTCATTGGCACAATGATTCTACCAGCTTTTATAGGGCTTGTCCTCATTAGCTACGGCAGCCCGTGAGGACATAAAAAAAAAATTCTAAAACAATGCAAAGTGGAAATACTATTAAACAAACAAAAAATATAAACCACCAAACAATGCTAATCAAAACAGGCCGGCATCCATTAACAATCTCCAGCATTCTTAATTTAGAAAATTCACGTTGAATAACAGTCTACACATTTAAATTATTTAGGCAATTTATTTTAAATAGCTCACTATCCACTACAAACTCATTATAGTGTTTGGACATGCTAGCTGATTTTACCAGTTTGATGTATGTAGAGAATTTATAAATACTCTAAATACTATAAATAGTTGGTACTCCATGTAATTTCCTACCTGTTATTTTTACACACTTTTCTAAGTTGCCCATTTTACTATAACCTTTGCTGCTGTAAACACCCAAATTTCCCCATTTTGGGGCAATAAAGGGATTTTCTATTCTATTCTAAGAGTTTTTAAAGGTATGTAATTAGTGCTTGTAACTGTGAATTTGAAGTCGCAGAGAGAAATAAAATAGAGGCTTTCTATTTGCAGATTTTTTTTTCTAACTTTTATAATTACAAAAAAGTTACATCTTTAAAAAAAAATACACAAACTGTTTCATGGGTCACAAATCAAAAACCTCTTAAGAGTTAAGGTTTGCTTAAATTGATCCAAAACTACTGTTGGAAAGCTTTTTGTGCACTTTCTAACTTTTTTTCAATCTGTCACAATGACAAAAAAAAAAAATAAACTCTTCAAATTCTGGAGTACAAGTACACAAACTGTTCTGTGAGTTTTTTTAAAAATACCGTGAACTCTCAGGAACTTAGATATATTCTTTATATAACCTCTAAGAAAGCAGGATTGACAAAACATTTAAGATTTGTTAGTTTTGGTTTAACTTCCCCTATTAGTGAAGGAAAAAACTGATAGCCTGAAAAAAAAAGAATATAAAGTTATTAGTAAAAAAAAAAAAAGAATAACACAATATTTACAAACTTTCAGTTTACCTTCACTATCATTCGCTGTTGCTTGAATTAAAGTGTCTATTCTGTTTAAAACTGGGCGGACAACATGAACCTGCAGATGGAGAAAAAAAAGAAACAGTTATACTTCGGCCATAAAAACAGGTTGTGAAACAATAATGTCTACAGTAAAAGAGTTGAAACCTGATTCTCCTCCAGCGTCTCCATCACCAGCGTGTAATCCTCCCAGAACTCTCTTAGCAGTCCACTCTTGTCAGGGGCCCAATTAAACAACGCCTCCTCTGCAAAAAAAATTTTAATAAGCCAAGTTTTATGTGGAGTGTAAGCAGAGGATGGTAGAGAACCCACAAATGGTACTTGAGTAAGAGTAGCACTACTTTATCATATTTTATTTAAGTCAAAAGTAGCCTTTAATGAAATTACCCAAATGAAAAAAAGTATTTGGTAAGAAGACTACTTAACACCGAGTAACTGATCTACTTACAGTAGAGCTGCAACAACAATTATTTTGCAAATTGATTAATCTGTCGATACTTTTTTTTTTTAAATAATCAATTAATCATTGGATAGCCAAAGGCTCCTGAAATCTTATGTTAAATGCTTACATATTTTTTTTTCACAATTATGGTTAAATTGCTGCTCTAAGTGGGTTGCTCTGTAAGCTGAAGGCATGTTTTAGCATCTCTGTATTCCACTTAATGGTTAATTGATTACTAAATTAGTTGATGATTATCTCACTAATCAATTAATCACGATTAATCCAATTAATTGTTTCAGCCCTACTTTCAAGCCATGATTATAACAACTGATT